TATTTCTTATTTTTATTGTGTTGTTTCAACCCCTTCCCTAGGTTTTGATAGACTTCTTGGGGAAAGAATGAAAAGTCATTAAATAGGCATTCAGGGGAAACTATTCTATAAAGTAGGTGTGGCCCGGCGGCCTCGCTAAACGACACCGCCAGCCGTGGGTCGAGATGACCGCACTGATGTCACATTGGACTCATCAAGCTATCTGCGGGTAATCGAAGCGCTTGACCTGAATTGGTCCAGCCAGCAAGCGGCGGAATTTTAAATGTCAGTGCTGTAACAGCTCAGCGACTGCCGGGCAACCGGGGAACGATAGCGGGAGACGAGCAGCGTTCTATCTCACTTCTGTTTTTCCCTTTTTATTTTCATATTTCATTAATTTTATTTTGTTTCGACAGACGATCTCGCGGCTCAATTGCAAGTAACTCAGCGCACTCGTTGCTATAGCCTCATGAACGTCGGTGATGCTTTTTGCTCCCTGATACGCAAGCCACAAAAACCAGCCCGCACTTCAAATCTTAAGGGACTTTTAAAAGGATGAACTCGATGCATCTTTAGCACATCAGAAAATCTGAATCCTGTAAATGACAAATTTACGTCTTTTCAATAGACAAAAACAAAAATTGTCCATCACAAGGGTGCACATTTTTTACTTGAAAGTTTCTTAAAAGCATTTGGTCCAGACGTGCTTAAAAATGCATCTCTATGGACAAAAGTACAGTCCCTTCCCATTTAGTTTGCGGTACACTATGTTTTTGGGTTAGAGAAAACCTAAGAATAAGACTGGCTTGATCCGCCATCGTTCAAATTTGGCATATGTTGCTTGGTTTCTTTACATCTTGTTTCCTTATTCTGTTGTGCCTCATCCGTGGCCTGTAGACCCACCTAGACGCCCAAAGAGGCGAGGAGCTGGGGCTGGCGTATCGAGACTGACCCCAATTGGAGGCGACCTAAGGGGAAGCCCACCCACCTCCCATCCATCCACCTCCTCCTCCTTTTCCTCATCAAGTAGGTCCTCCACAGGGGCCGCTGCGCTCCTCTGCCCTGCGTTTTACGTCTTGTGTACTTTTCCTTTTTGCAACAGAGCAACACCATAAACTGAATGACAGACGTTGGTTCAATAAGATTCCGCGTCGGGGTCATTATTACTTGGGGGACCATTTCATCTTACGTAAAGAAGAGCACAAACCGGTTCAAACATAAGCAGACAGACACACGCGCGCGCGCACACACACACACACACATACACACACTGACCATGTACTATTTTATGCGTAGCTAAGTACAACTGTCAACATACATAACCTGCGTACAACATTAGTTCCTAACTATGTACAATATTGTACGTAATTATGCATAATATTGTGCATAGTGCATCATGGTTGTGCGTGAGCTACGTATGAAATAGTACACAGCAATTCTGTGTGAACGCTAGACCTAACCTCAGCGGGTCTTTTGCTCCAGCATACAGTTAACCGATGCAAGCTGGAGGCAGCAACACACATTAATTTTCTCGGCAGTTCTCTAGAGTTTTGTCTCCGTCCAATGCATCTAGCTCCACTGACTCCCGGCCGAGGCCCCCGGCCTGGAGCCCAGCGGCCCAGAGGCGGGCCTGGCCCAGATCAGCAGCCACTTTGCGACGGAAGGAAGTGGCTCGATTATCAGCCTGGCCTGGCTCCGCAGGCTCTGCCGGGTTGCTGTGCCTCTCGCCTGCATGCCGATGGCTTCAACCTCACAGCTTGACGTGCAATCCGCCGATCGCGCTATCATTAAGTTTCTTGAATTTTGTGCCACATGTCGGAGGGGACGGACGGCCTTTTGTTCCAGCTAACAAGGGGACGTTTTTCGGTGTTATACACCAATTTCGATGGGCGCGATATACAAATTGCAGGGGACATGCGTACTGTGGTAAACCAAGTGTTTAATTTTCCACGTCAATTGATGTTTAAGGCGGTAGGAGCGAGTTTATTTTTTTCAGAAATCGGTAGTGTATGTTACGCTTACACCGGGTGTTTCATAAAAGACACAGGTGCTGGCAGGTTTGCCTTCTCGCTCTGCCCGTAAGGCGCCACAGCCCCTTGGGTAGGCAAACCCGTTCGCACCTGTGTCTTTTATGAGACATCCGGTACACCATCACGGCCAATTAGATGGTTAGATGAAGGTAGATGCACGTTGTTTGTGCCATTTCCTACGATGTTTTCCGAAAAATGTATACTTCATGAAAAATTAGCTTCGGTCTACATCTGTGCGAAATCAGCGAGGTGAAGTGAAAACGGTTCCAGAGATATAGGCATTCGGAAATCACATTTTTGCTGGTTTTATGGTGTTTTATTACTAAAAATTGGCCAAAACAAGCGAGTAACAATGTATGGGCAGCTAAAACTGGGGCCAATCTTAGTCTACATAGGGGGTGGGTGGGTGATCCGCGTCGTTTTTCCCTGCTTATGTACCGAATCCATGCGTGACGAAATGAGCGTAAATATCGGTTTTTGTGCTCGATGTGCCACATTAGGAGCGGGGAGGCAAAGACTTTTGCTGCTCTAAGCACTATAGGCTGATATTGCAAAGAACCCCACTGATCATCATGATTAAGCGAGCCGACATTAAAATCTGGATGGTAAGTTCTTAATCGCAAATTCCCTTGTTTTTGTTGTTTTATGCACACCTTTGTCTTTTAATACCCCAAAACAGTGACGTCAATTCATTTTTTTTTAAATCTAAGATACCCCTCCTTCTTCCATGCTCCTCTAACCTCGACAGGGTTTTTTTGCGCAGCCAGCGAGCCGCGTCCCGGCCTACGTGTAAATCACCACGGCGTAGAGAGGCACCGGATAGCGGGGGAATTTGCATGGACTCGCAGAGAATGCCCCCTACCCAAACCGCTCATCCACGAATACTGAAAGAATTGGGGAAAGGGGGTCGGGGATTACTTTTTAGACTTGCTCGAACGACACTTCAAACTTGCCGGGGTGGATTCCAAAATCGGAGGTTTAAGAGAGCCGATGCCGATGAGAACAACATCCCATCAGCCCGCTGCTCCCCCTGCCCCTTATACCGCCTTGAAGCTCATTCCAGACGCCTGACAGTACACTCGCAACTGGAAAAGTTCACTCGTAAAACATTTTTGATCAGAGCATTAGAACTTTTTCTTTATTATTCAGGCAGTTAATTAAAAGGATAGGAAAAGTTGAAAGAGAATGCGGTGCTGTTGACGATTCTTCTCGACGTGTGCTGTGCTGCTAGTGCGCCTCTCAGGGATCATCACTCCCCCCCCCCCCCTGCCACAAAAACAGATATGTATTCTTGATTTGCGCTTGAATATACGATTGTGCATTGCGCTTATGTTAGGAGCATTTTACTCAAAACAAGCGCAATATACAAGTCACGAGTATCAAGCACTGAGAATGCAGGAGTCACGCGCTTTCACTGTTAGTAGATTTCGTAAATTTACGATAAAATTCCTCACGAACAGTTCGTATTCCGCTTTTACGAACAATGTTCGTCAAATCCAAAAATACGAACTGTTCGTAGGCAATAAACAAATTGTTCGTAAATTTATCGACGCACATTTGTTAACAGGGGTGGACAATGACATGGATAACTTACATATCTAGGACAAATTACGAACGTTTTCTAAGCAATAACGAATAGTTCGTGTACAAAATTTAACACGTGTTTGTTCGTCAATTTACGATGTAATCCCCTACAGTGTTGTTCTCTTGGGAGAGCGACGCATTGCTTCTAATGTCGTTACTCCTGAGAGAGCGACCGTAGCAAACAGTTTGGCGTTCCTAACTTTTCCGGAAATCCAGCTAAAGCTTTCTCTGTTTCTATACATACAGTTGAGTGCAATAAAACTGTGAGCTTATTGAATTTGACGATTCCAAGCCCATTGTGACGATGGTAAGAACACTTACTTTGCTTAGTGTCGAAATTCTCGCCCCACGAATAACATGTTTCTCAGACCAAATACATACAATGTGCTTGTGAGAGTAAGGCACAAGTGTTTTCTGGTTGCAAGACATACCCTGGTACCCCAGCGCTGAAGCACACAGGCCCGTTCAACAGCGCCACCGCGCCCCTCCCTACACGGCACACGGCGCGGCACAGACATACGAGCAAAGTAATCACACTGGTGGGCGAATCACCTCTCTGTCGATGACGGTCACGCATGCAGGTGAGCTGCTGCTCTAGCCTCACTGACCACGGCGCACAGCCAACACCGTGGGTGATCGTCGACACTGCAACACCACGGCTCGACGGCTCGGCTACAGGAGGGCACCCGCCCGCCCGCATGCGATACAGCCTAAACTACGAGTGGTGCCAAAGGGCTGCAGCCGGCTGCAGCGCGCCGGCTTGGCCTAGTGCGTATACGACAATTTGCCGGTCGGACACCTAACACTGTGCGAAATGAGCTCCATCATTTCAAACCCAGAAAGCAGCTAATCAAAACGTCGCTGGCTATCTACCCGGCTTCAGCGAAATTCAGCACGAAGCTCTCTGTGTAAGTGCACATTACGATCATACAGCCCAGCCCAGAGCACGCTTCATGAAGTTTCCAAGTATTGAGTCTGGCGCTCACGCCGGCGGATCCTCTAATTGGTCTTTTGCCGAACCACGTGGAAGGGGTTAATCCCCCATTCGCAACTTCTCCGGCTACGCTGATTAGCACTGCACGCTCGCCCGCTCTCTCTCTCTCTCTCTCTCTCTCTCTCTCTCTCTCTCCTCCGGAGCCGCGCGACTTGTTCTACATATAAATCGCCACACTGCTGCTCCTCTCTCGGTAGCCTTGTCTCTCTACCTTTCGCCTCTCTCCCCCTCTCCCCCCTCCTCCTCTAGGCTTGGCAGGCGGCGCGACGACGGCGGCGGTGGCGGTAGCGGTCGCCGGGTAGGAATGACCTTCGCCAAGTCGAGTCAGGACACAACAACATACAACAGCTCAGCCGCGCCACGCCGCGCCGACGTGCCGTGGTGCCGGTCAGCCTGGTCGGCCTCCTCCTCACCTGGGCGTCGTCGGGCCGGCGCCGACGTGGTCCATGCAGAGGGCGTCCAGCTCGGCGTCGTGCACCGGGCGGGCGCCCATGGCGGGCACCATCGCGCCCATGGTGGCACCGGCACCCATGACGCCACCGGCGGCCACTAGTGGGAGGCCCTGCTGCTGCCCGGGCCCAGAGTGGCCCGGCGGCAGGTACCAAGACATGGTGACGAGGTAATCCCGCTATCTGGCACTGGTCGTGCCACCACAATAACACTTCATCACTGATCCACACGACGCATTCTTTACACGCACTCGCGCGCAGGTACCGCGTAGAGGTACCGCGTAGAGATACCGCGTAGTGGTACCGCGTAGAGGCACCGCGTAGAGGTACCGCGTAGAGGCACCGCGTAGAGGAACCGCGTAGAGGAACCGCGTAGAGGTACCGCGTAGAGGTATCGCACACACGCACGGGCTCACAGGTGCTCACTGCTGCACTTGTTGGGGCCGCGGGGGCCGCGGGGCCCGGCCTGCCTCACGAACTGGGCGCGCGGGGCGCGGCGCGCACGGACGCGGGCGGGAGGTTCGCAACGAAGCGCCGGTACGCGACTGCTCGCTGCCGGGCCGCGCCGGGGCCTGGGCCGCCTGGGCGGCGGTGCGGTGGCGGCACCGCGCTACGCGCCGCCACGCCCAGCCACAGCCGCGGCC